GTGTCCCACGCTGGACTGGAGGTGTCCTCTACTGGTACCCTGTGTTAGGCACCGGTTCACCTGTCCAAATAAGCACTTATGGAAGACGGATAATCAACCATTAAAAGCTTGTTTCTCCTGTTATCAGCCCACATTATATTCTCAGCTTCAGCTGAGTACCTCACATGTGCAGCTCAGATGTCCAACTGAGCACATTCAAGACAATCCAGGCAGTATAGAATAACACACAACTTCAACCCATTTCAAACAATTGGGATTTTTTTGTTTATTCCTATTCCTGTTCTTTTCTCATATACCTAAATACATCGTATATGTAATATTTACGCTGCAGTTTGCCTTGTATACCATATAACAAAAAGTCGAAAAGCACAGTTAGATAATTAGGCCAATTCTGTATGACCAGTAAAATCAAAATGGAATCTCCATATTCTCAAAAAATAAAACAGACATCTCTGTTCCAGGATAATATTCTATAATTGTACTTTACTTTTAGCTCAGTGTAAATCTTTACCCTGAACATTTTTGCAGAGGAGCCTCGATCTGTCATGCAAGGCGATTTTACTTCAATACACTTCTACACTCCAGTTGCACTCATTTGCTTTAATAGCAATCAAGACCAATAACTTACACTTTTCCTGTCTGACGTGTTCCAGGCTTACAGTAAATGGGTGGATTAAAGATCTTAATACCGTTTTCCTTTAAACAAACAATAAATATATTATGGCTGATCAGTGGTTAGCATAGCAACCTCACACCTCAAGGGTTGTGGGTTCAGTTCTCATTACTAGCACTGTGTGTGGAGCTGCACATTCCTCTTTGTACTGCTGTTTCTGCCCACAGTCCAATTACATACCGTTAGATGACATATATATCGGTCTATATAATCAGTACGGATTCAGTAATTGTATAAGGAAACCATATTTGCTTAAAATAGATTTCCTAATAATGCACACACAGACACACACACACACACACACGTGTAAACGAATTCCACAATAGTGGAAAAAATGCACGCGTGTCATTGCAAACATGACTGCCATTACCCTTCACTGACCTCCCTTGAAAGCTGTGGTTTAGCTCTGCGCTACACATTCAGTCCCGCATCTGAAAGATGCCATTAGGCTTAAAATTGCTGATATGCTTTGTTTTGTGTGTCTTTCTCCTTTTTGTTATCCCCGCTGAACTGCACGCTCCGTAAACACTGATGGGATGACTTTGCGAAGTATTGCAGTCCTGCGCTCTGTTCCCTTACTGGGCGCTGTAGTTAGTGCGGATTTGCGAAGACGCGAAATCGGTGGAAATTTGACGGGACAGAGGGACTAGACGCAGGTAGGGCGAATAGGGCAGCTTTGTGGATCGATGTTATTATCACGCTAATTAAATGCTTTATATTGTCTTTCAGGCTACAAACAACAAATTCCTTATAAAGGCTGTAAGGTTTTAGAAAAATCTGACGAAACGCTTTGTAAAACTCGTTTGAAGGAAATAGATTTAATAAAGTTTATTAATATTGCCTGTTTACAAAACAAAAGGAGTAATTATAGATACATGAGATCACGCGTCGTTACCATAACCAATAAAAGTTATTAAACAAAAAGGACATGGGCAATGATATTATTTCTCTAAAATCCGCATACATTCGTTCGATAGAAACTGTCTCAAACACTATTCCTTACAATGTAGACTGTCTTTGTCATTTAAAAATACAGCAATATACTGTAGAATAACTGCAATTAATAACCGGCGCGTAACGAACACGGTTATGATTAAATTCTTCATAAGTGAACTGGAAAAACTTAGTATAAAAAGTTAAACATGAGCTATCTGTAATGGGAACGGGTGAGATATAATTCTTAAAGGATCCAGAAACTATTTATTTCTGACTAATTCATACTGACTGATTGATACATTTGGCGATTAAAAAAATTATAATAAAAAAGTGACATTTATTATGGTAAAGCGAGATGTTACTTCGGACATTGTAGAGTGACATAGAAAGCTGAAGAGAAAATGGCTTAGTCACTGTTATACTGTCTTTTTATACATGTGTTTTAACTCCGACAAGACATGCAAATGTAATTAATCATGACACTTAATGAGGTTCTAACCCTCATGTCATTTAAAAAGCGTATTTAGGTGTGACCGTGACGCGGGATTGAAAGAGGATTTCAGCAGCCCTGTTCAATGCATCTGTTTAAGCTCCCGCCTTGCATTTTAAAACTGACAGCCACCTTACCATCACCTAGCTGAAATAATAAGATATAATAACTGGATGTAAGAAACCTATCACCCCCCCCCCACACACACAAACACACACACACACACACATACATACACACACGTGCCTGGAATTTAGTGTAATTCTATCATTTCTATGAACTTTATAAATGAATTAGAACTTCTTTTATTTAAACATGTGTGTGACTGAGAGGCTTCAATGAAGCTGTAGATGATTTATCATAGAATGTAAGCATGGGCGTAAATAACCGGAGTTGGGGGGTTGTAATTCCCCCCAAAAATCAAAACCAGCCAATATAGCCCCCCCCCCAAATAATCACAAAATGGTTGGAGACCTCTACTCCCCCACACACACACCCACGAATGTTCAACCCAAAGTTACACCTTTGAATGTAAGGGTAGGGCTGGCATATAAACACTCGCATTGTCACATGAGTCTGTTGTGATTCCCTCACCTGAGCCCTGTGCTCTTAGACTACAGGAGAAGAACTGGCTGGAGCACAATGCTAGAAGCTCGACCTCATAACGCTATTCACTTAACACTAGAATATAATATATTATAGGAGGCCTGTTACCTGAAATTATATACTGAAAGTACCTCAAGTGGCAACAAAGGCTTCCAGACAGGCAATGCAAATGTACACAAAGGCACCTAATAGACTTTTTAGATAATGACCTTTTGCTCCTATTTCCTTTCCAGCTCAGGTGTCGCACTGTTAGCATCAGCAGCTGTGGCTCTGAATTAACATGCTAATGGCCGAGCCTGAAGAAGCCAGCGCTCGTAGCGGCACTCGCAGAAAGCCAAGTGTCCAAATGGCGGAAAAGAGTACCTGAGGACATCATCCAGGTCACGTGAGTCCCTACAGATAAGAGCGGCATGATTAAACCCTAGATGTCCTTCTTTCTGGATTGCTCTGTCCAGCTCATTTTCTATCAAGTGATGGGCTGTAGTCTAATTAAGAGATTGATTAAGTGATAAACAAAGCAGAGGTATAAATAATTCAATAATGTGAACACCACTTAGACGAGGAACCCTGTTTAGCTAAAGGACTGGGGTTTTTCACGGCGGCAAGATGTAGCGGCGGCTACCGGACATGCTACCTGCCATTCAGGGCATGCGAGCCCAAGAAATGATCAGCATGGAAGCGTGGCCATCGTCTCTCATTCAGATTCACGAGAACAACACAGAGAAACTCAACGCTTCCTCGAGCTTCAATACAACTGGTTTGGCAAAGACTTCAGACACGTACCAGTTCTACATCATCAGCCTGTTCCTCTCTTGCCTGTACACCATCTTCCTCTTTCCCATCGGCTTCATCGGTAATATACTCATCCTAGTGGTTAACCTAAATCACCGGGACAAAATGACCATCCCAGACCTGTACTTCGTAAATCTGGCGGTGGCCGACCTCATCCTAGTGGCAGACTCCCTGATCGAGGTCTTCAACCTGAATGAAAAGTACTACGACATTGCTATCCTCTGCACCTTTATGTCCCTCTTCCTCCAGGTCAACATGTACAGCAGCATCTTCTTCCTGACATGGATGAGCTTTGACCGCTATGTGGCCCTGGCCAGCACCATGAGCCGCTGCCCCCTTAGGACGATGCAGCACGCTAAGGTCAGCTGTAGCCTCATCTGGATGGCCTCCCTTCTGGCCACACTGCTGCCCTTCACCATAGTGCAGACTCAGCACACGGGAGAGGTGCACTTTTGCTTTGCGAACGTCTTTGAGATCCAGTGGCTTGAAGTGACCATCGGATTCCTGGTACCCTTCTCCATCATTGGGCTGTGCTACTCCCTGATCGTACGCATCCTCATGCGGGCACAGAAGCACCGAGGCCTCTGGCCTCGCAGGCAGAAGGCCCTGCGCATGATTGTAGTCGTCGTCCTCGTCTTCTTCATCTGCTGGCTCCCTGAGAATGTCTTCATCAGCATCCAGCTGTTGCAGGGCACCGCCGACCCCCTGCGTCGTAGTGCTGCCACCCTTTGGCATGACTACCCCCTCACCGGCCACGTCGTCAACCTGGCTGCCTTCTCCAACAGTTGCCTCAACCCCATCATCTACAGCTTCCTGGGGGAGACCTTCCGAGACAAACTGAGGCTCTTCATAAAACAAAAGGCCAGCTGGTCTATGTTCTACCGCTTCTGCCAGCACACTTTGGATTTACGCATTCCTGTTAGAAGCGAAGTCTCAGAGGTTTAGGGGACGCTGTGGAGCTAAGGCAAGAAAGCGCGACATGAAGCCAGCAAGATCCTTTTTAGAGCATCAAAGTCCGACACTTGTGAATGATCCAAACTATGCTTTTCTCAGTTTTTATAAGACGTATATAAATTAATAGGACAAGCCAAGAACCATAAATTGGGATTGGTTTTCAGGAACTGGGTTTATACACCAAAAGGGGGTTTTGAGGAATAAAACAGGAACAAAGGAACAAAATAGAATAGACATCGGAGGACTTGTAGTTTCGTTTTACCAATGCAATCATACTGCACTGTGTAGGTAAGCAAAAGCAATTTACTACAATGAACACTTGGATAACAAGTTCTAATTTCCACTCAGAGCTAGAGGTTTTTTTATTATTATTATTTTTATTTCCCCTGCTTATCAGTATGCACCAAATATCTTTTGTTCTGAAGACAATAAACGGCTTTGGTAAGAAATTGTTATTTGAAAGTGTTATTGCTGATCTTCTACTGTTTACTCAAACTTTGTCGTCCACTTTGACTAAAACTGGCAGGATGTAAATGTGAGTAAACAGGATCCCTGTCAGTCACAAATGGGAGCATAATACAGTGTTAAGACCATATGTCTTACATTGACTGTTATGTAACAAGAAATGCTTTAACTGTAACACAACATAGACCAAGAAATACAGTCACATTAACAAAGTACTTCAACATATAAATGAGCTGTTTAAAAAAAAATGTATATCAATACATGGCGCTTTAAATGACAACAGACGTACCATAATGGCCCAGGATTTTGAAAATGGTCACGCACAACAATAATAATAATAACGTGTATTCAGCAAAATGATAACAGTAGCTTGTTTCTTATTTATTTATAGTTATTTTCAAATTTAAAGGTTTTCTATTGAACATTGATCCCAATAAAGTGCTTAATTTAAATGTTAATCTATTTATTGCAGAAGAAATAAATCTGGCCATATAATTATCAATATATAATTATTAGACTGAGTATTTTATCCCGCCTGAGAAATATTTGATAAGAGTCACTGTTAGAGCAAATAAACTAACAAATGTCTTACAATCAAAATATTCACTCGTAAAATCAAAGATATAGAAAATAAAAATGTCTTAGTTCAATATATCTGAATATGCAGTCAAAATAACTTTTACTCATTATATATGATCAGTGAGAGAATGTTAAATTACTGACTACTGGGTAATTGGGATGACTCCGGAACTGCTAGCTGACTATCGGTACTTATACAATAGATGTAGTATATTAAGGAAGTTAATCTTAGATATTCAAATGCTTTAACCAGACACTGCACAAGACAAAACACATAGGTAACCATGGAAGTGACCACCGTTCCTTATTAATATCCCGTACAATGAAAAGTCCAGACTTTGCTGAATTTTATCGTATTTGTGGTGCAACTATGTATCAACGCATTTGTTATTTGTGTTCCTGATATTATGAAAATACAGGACATTCTATAACTGCATGTCGACACTCCATGTTGAGAGTATGTTTGATTTAAAAATAAGAATAATAATTTGTTGAAATTTTTCTTATCATTATTATCCTTGAGCCACACCGTAATCAAGCTAGCTGTCATTAAGCTGGATATCTATATATGTCTATAAAATGACTAGTTGTGCAAGATACACAATATCTGTGCAATATCTATATGAAAGTCATTGCATTGTGTATTGTACATTGTGTCTGAACCTATTCCAAATGGCCGGCTTAGACTTTATTTTCCATGCCGGATGAACAAAAGAAAATGCAGGAACAATGGCATTCAAAATCTCACCCATGGGATCTGCATGATTTTCCATTTTTTCCCCAGAATGCATTAGTCACAGTGTAAGTAACCACTGGCGTGATTGGTTGAGGGACAGAGACCTCATAAGCAGGACGAAGGTGCAGGGGAGCAGGATTTAAATGACACACCTTTTAAATGGAGAAAAATAACACAGAATGAGTATGAAGATCCTTTACAAACACACCAAAAACCATCATAGCAACAACACTTACATTAACACAAAAAAGAAGTGGTTCCAAGTGAAATTAATATGTGTGCCCCTTTATTTCAACAGCATGACCTGTTTGTTTCCAGATACAGTTAGTTTGCTACCTGGCCTTAAATGTGAATGTAATATTTAACTCAGCCACTGAGTATTTGTTTCCAGTTCTTAAGATTACAAAATGTTTTTTCCAAAGATGAATAAAAACAAAGTTCATAGTTTATTGAATTTTATATTGTCAGATGTTTCAATAAAGCATTATTCAGCTTCATCGTGTTTGCACAATGCACTGCTTTTTGTTGAAAACCATTTGATAACAACAAATTATTTTTTCATCTTTGTTTTCAAGTTATGCTTAACATATAACACTGGTGGCTTATATGAAAGCAACATGACCAACAGGCAGACAGTAGGCAGTTTGACAGACAAATTTCTGCAACTGGATTTGAATATAAATGCGAACAGCAATACGGCTGTTATTTATGCCTGTTTCATTCCTGCTGAATTACCACATAATAAACGACAGGCGTGAAACAGTCTGAACTGTGCCAGTGGTTTGTTTTTATTTTTCGTTTGAGCAGAAATGAGAATCTATTTTTTATGATATAATGTTATTTTACAAGTTTGATCAATTTTTTAACTTAAAAGAATACATTGCTCTTTGGTTTTGCAACCTTCCAATGTTTTTTAAAAAAAACTGCAAAATGTTGTGAAATATTGACATTTCCAGATGTTACCATATGATTTTGTATAATATTGTGTCTTTACAGATAGCATTGACTCTCCCTGCCGGCCCCAGGAGAATGGGCCCCCCCTTTGAGTCTGGTCCCTCCCAAAGTTTCTTCCTTCTAGGGAGTATTTCCTTGCCACTGTCGCCTATGGCTTACTCACTGGGGGCTTTGGGTGGGGATGCTGTAAAGCACTTTGGGACAATGTAATGTTGTGAAAACGCGCTATACAAAAAATAAATTTGTTTGTTGCTGTTGTCATTGTAGATAGTGGATAAATATAATATTATATTATTATAAAGCTATAAATAAAAATATGAACAAAGCTGGATTCACCTCTCTATATAGGCTGAGATATCAAGTACATCGCAAAGGTTTCTAGGTTAATGTTGAACAACATCAACATTCCACCAACTCTAAGACATGCTTAGTGTTAGGAGTGTTACGAAATAATGCTGTTCACTGCTGATAACAGCCATCTGGATTCTCTGCGGCTGTTTATTCTGTTTGCTTTGAAATGTATATCTTTGGTCATCTCAGTTCCTTAGGCCTGTGTGTTTTTACTGTTTTAACTTTCTACATACTGACATAGGTGGTTGGTTTCACTTTTTATTCAGGTGGAATATCCATCCATCATCCATTCATCATCTACTGTATCGTCCATTCATCCATCCATCATCCAAGCAGTTCTCCTGCTCAGGGTCATGGATTTTGGCAGCGGACGGCACAAGGCAGCAACTCTGGATGGGATGTCTTTTACTTTATATTTTTACTTCATACCAGGGGTGGCCAATCTTATCCGCAAAGGGCCGGTGTGTGTGCAGGTTTTTGGGGTAACCTTTAGCTCCAAACCTAGGTGTGAGGACTCAGCCAATCAGTCCTCTAATTAGTGATCTAATTAGGGAGTTTCAGCAAAAACCCACATAAACAGCGGCCCATTCTAGATAAGATTGTCCACCCCTGCTTTATATACACAGAAAAGTTACGCACCCAGAAGTAATGGTCCATTTTGGATGTAATTTGGTACACGTGCAAACCAGCGATGGCTATGTAGATGACTGGATTTATATGGAGCTGGCATAACGCCCGTCCACACAGGGCACGTGTGTCTAAGGACTGCCTGCGTCATGTTGAGCTCTCCTGTGGCCAGCCAGGTCCCCCGATCTTTCCCCAATCGAACATGTGTGGGATCAGCTCAGACGTCAACTCAGACCCAGAGCCAATCTGCAGGATCTCGAGGGCCAGTTACAACAGCCGTGGGCCGACTTGCCCCAAGAGAAGATACAACGGTTGTACGACTCCCTTCTGCACCATATCGCTGTGTGCATCCAGGCCCGGGGGGGGCACACCCTATAACATGGGACCAGCAGTCTGTCTATGCAGCCAACTACGTTATCTGTTTGATCCGATATTATATTTGTTGCCATACAGTCACATGACCTTTCACTTTATTTTTCATTTCATTGTCACCATTCTGTCTGGGTGCTTCACTTTTTTTGTAACTGAATGTATTTATTACACTTTCATTTCCATAAATAACTTTCAAATGTCCATCTATTTTCCAAAAGCGTGTATTCAGCTCAGTGTTCAGGTGAGCTTGCTCTGTATCCAAGGCACTGGGCACACACTCACAAACTCTATACGTCACGGGGAACACACTCACAAACTCTATACGTCACGGGGCACACACTCACAAACTCT